GGTACTTCATATGTATTAATACCATCATCACTTGTGGATTTAATGATAGGAGATTTGTCACGATTCTGATACACTTTCACAAATATTTCCAAAAGAGATATGGAACATTTTTGAGAAAGCATATCTAACTGTTTCGGCATATATAAATACTTCACGGAATGTACAAAATTTTGTTGAAAGATATTGTCATGTCGTTGCTGGAAAATGAAATGCGCCTCCTTTTGTAATTGCTCAGCTATAAGAAATTTAACAGTATGTCTTCGAATAATGCTGTGGGCGACTTCAATGGGACTATCACTAAAAGAAGCAAAATGGTTAGAAATTAAATTCATTATTGGATGGCCCGTTTCTATCTAATAAAAAACATCTAAAAAAAATATTAAGGGGCACGCTTATAATTTCTTCTATTGAATCGTAAGAAAAGGTCGCTACAACAATGCATGCATGCTTCCTCATACGATGGCCAATCCCCACTCCGATGGTGTACAGCATAGATATCAAGAACTAAGGGAACTAAATTGCTAAATAAATCAGTAAGATATAAAAACTCAATGTTTTTACATATAAACCCAAATTTTGCATAAACCGTATCCACAATATTGGACCATGCCAAGCGCACAATGTGGAAAATTAAATTAATTCTCTATGGTCGTGGCTTCTGGCTGAGTTTCTTCTTCACTCCGAATACCCTCTTGTAAATGTCACTAAATAATAAATAATTTTTTTTGTAAATGAGTTTGTGAGAATTCAAAGACATATGAAGAGGCCCTAAAATGGGCAAAAATAATATAACAAACTGTGGAATACTCTCATTGTTAAGAAGAAGCCATTGTGCAATGGCCTTACGAATAAAAAATTGCTCAGGCCAATCCGCAACAGTAGAAACAGCATAATTAGAAAGATAAATTCGCATTGGCTCATTGTCATATACAATTCGAAGAGCATCAACATATTCCTCTATATTTTTCAATTCTTTTTTAGCGAAGTCAACAAAAATTGAATTGCGTATATGTCAATCATTCTTTTTTCTGCAAGCCTATCATCGTAGCTATGTACTGTTAATCTATCTAATACTTCTTCATCAGTACATGCTTGTTCTCTGCTTTGCATTCGATCATGATATGAAATACCAAGATTTACGATAAAATGTTCATCAAGATGTTTTATGATCAAATAGCTATCTATAAATCTTGGATTAACTATTCCATTGCATGATATTGCAGGGTTTAAGCATGGGTTGATTAAAATTGTTGCCATATGTGTTGGTCTAGAAGTAACTGTAGTGTTAGGCTGCTGTGAGATGTGGATATTATGATAATCGTCGACATTTAGCACAAGTGCATTCCTCGAATGCTGAAAAAGTGCATTCTTCACATATTTTTCATGTACTTCTGATATCTTTTTCTTACGCTGACCTACTGCCTGCAGCATTGTAGTAATGCCAAGATTCGTCATCGTATTCAAGCCTTCTTTGATTACTCCCGCTGAATCTAAATAATATGCAAGATCAAACTTAAAAGAATTAATTTTAGTGTTGTTTAAAGAAGCAAGTAAATAGCAAATGAACACCATTATTCTTTTCATACGGTCCATTGTTTGTTCAGTACGTGTGGATGACCTAGCTACTAAAAAAGTTGCTCAAGAAAATGCTTAAGATTAGGTTCATCTTTTACTAGTAATTTTTGCAATTCTTCAAACTTATAAATTGTATTTTCTTTTTTTACATGCTCTCTTTCATAAAAAACTTTTGCCATTAACCTAATGGCTTCAGAGAGCTCAATCTTTTCATTAGATGTACCTGCCTTTTCACCTTGATCATCTATACCTTTTGCTCGCTTACTACCTCTTCTCAAGGGATTTTCAACTAGATCCATGTAACATTTATCACATAGAACGGTGTCTTCCATCCACGTTAGTTTCTCTAGACTTTTAGCCATGAGTTCTTTCTATTTGTCTGCATTCAATAAACAGAATTTAATAGATTGGGTGGCTTGGCAGCTTGTGCAATACTTATTTTCAGACATATTTAACACTAATATAAGTTGCGGGATTCAGAGGGATTCACCAGATATTCTTATGTGCTGAAGCGAGAACTTCAAGTTTTCTTAGAATTATAGTCCACCTTTGATAGAGAGAATGGGCTATACAAGTCTCGTGAAAAAGTACTTTAAAATGTATAAATTACGATTGTCATGAATTGTGTAACATGTTACTATTTTTAGGTACATTTCCCCCTGTTGAATCTACACGTCCAATTTCAATTAAATCTCAGTGATAAAAACAAGTTATTTTATTTATAGTGTTTAATATACTTGTATCCTGTAGTTCAGATTTATTCGTGTTAATTAATGAATATAAAGATCAATGTAACAAGATAAGCTATTCAAATAAACTATTCTGAAATCAACTTGGCTGATCGTACTGCTCCTGCACTGTGCAGCTATCTTGATTTTCTTATTATTATCCTGAAAGGGATAAAGTAGAAATCTCGATTCTTGGGCCACAGTTAGAGGTGCTAGTGAAATTCATTAGCTTATTAAACCAATATATTATACAATGTAATAAAACCTTTTAGAAACTACATAACGGCTTTACTGTCTGCATTACCTGATCAATTCTGCAGATCATTTGACCAGATTTAAAATTGTTTTGTTCTAGATCTGGCCAAATGATCTGCAAATTTGACTATGAATTATAAATGATGAGTTTCTCTATCTATTAGATTATGTAGACTTGCCAGTATGGTTTTATACTAAATTAAGCACAAATTATTATTTTTATTAAACAGAACATCAAAAATCTGGCATTGGCTACAATTTTAGCCAGCTGGCTAAACTACTTGGCCGGCTAATATTGGCTACGGCTAATAGCCAGCTATAGCCAGCTATAGCCATAGCCATTCCCATCCCTATTCTACACATAAAGATACATCATTTCGGTATATGTTTACTTTATAATTTTAAATATTTAAAAAAATATGCTTAATTTTAGAATTTTGATCAAAATTCCAAAACTAAGCATATTTTTTTTAAATATTTAAAATTATAAAGTAAACATATACCGAAATGATGTATTTTTATGTGTAGAACAAGTTTACTTAGAGCATTAAGATAGGATTAATTAGTAAACACTGGTCAAAATCAAAAATATTATCCAAATATCTTCAACTAATCGGCCTAGAAGATAGCCTGGTGATAGCCAGGTGATAGGCAGGTGATATTAACCCGATTCATTAGGGATAAAAAAGCTGATAGGCGTAAGATTAAAGAAAATATGTT